AGGTCAAGAAGGAGTGTGGGGGAGGGTGTGGGTGCATGTGTGGATGCATTTTTGGGATTTGTGGGGAAGAGTGGCTAGGTGTGGGGGGCATGGGGATGGGTGGATATGGGGGCTGAGGGTATGTGGGGGGCTGGTGGGTGTGGGGTGGTGCATGTGTGTGGTGGGGTATATGTGGGGCCCCCCTGCAAGCCCCCCCCAACACATGCCCCGCCATTATGCATAGCCCCTGCCACCAGCAGCACGCAGCAGAGCCTCACGGTGGTAATGGCTCATGGCAGGTGGAGCCTCCTGGCGGCGTAGGGTCCTGGCAAGCCCCAGGACTGCACATGGCCAGCCTGCTGGCTCCATCGTTCAGGGCTCACATGCAGTTCCCAGGTTCTCCATCTGAACCCCATGCTGCTGGAGCCCTGTGCAAGGAAGCTGGTGGTGCAGGTCATGGGGCTCAGCTGGAGTGGCAGGGAGAAGGGCAGAGCCCAGCTCCATAGCATGGAGCTCCCTGCCATTCCCCATGACTTGCACGTAGCAGTGAGCAGGGTCGGGCCACTGGCTCTATTGTGTGGGGCTCCCCACCGGAGGTGCGCAGTTCAGACAGAGAACCTGGGAACTGTATGTGAGCCCTGGGGAGCCCAGCATGATGGAGCCAGGCAGACTCCACACCCCCACTGGCCTGGGCTCCATGCTCTGGCTGCCCCACCCTGGGTCCCTGCTGGCCCTAGCCCCAGCACACTGGTGCAGGCCCTGCACTCCCACCCAGCTGCTGCTTTGCTCCCTCCTAGCATTTGCTTTCCACCTTCCGCCTGCCCATCTGCCTGCTGCTGCTACTGCTACCACTTCCCCATGTGAGCACAGCAGGGGCAGCCAGGCTGGGTACAATGAATTGGTAGATAGATATCGACCTGCAGACCAGATAAAATGGCTCATGTACTGTATTTTGCCCACCCCCAGGCTAGGTTTTGTAGAGTGTGAGTGCATAGCCCAGGTCCAGTTGTTCTTCTTCAGTTGGTCTCTGCTGTAGGCAGCTTTCGCTTACTTCTCAAGTCAGGACCCCTCCTGGCAGCTGGGGCCTCTACAACTGGACAAGCCATCTCTCTGATGCAAGTAATCTTTCCCCCTTTGGGGTACAAAAGTTCTGGTTTTAAAGGGGTCTTGCTAATTCTTCCTCCCCGGTCTTCTTTTCCCTTTAACAGGGTTAGGGTTCCCTATTATATAAGGGTATAGGAAAACATATACATTTTCCACATATGCAAGAGAGATATGTAATGAATGAATAAGATCTACACCAACAGATGAACAGGGTGCAGTTGCAATTCAGCCAGAGCTGCTTAGAGACAGGAGAGATTCTGCAAGTTCAGAATTTCTATTCTAAATCAGAACAAAACAAACAATCCCCATGTAAATAAAATTCTGCTAAATGATATGCCAATCAAAACTTATAATATCCATAAAACCAAAAAACTTCATTTCAGTGCTGAACTCTTAAAATGTTATATGATATTTTTGGAAGTGTCATTTCAAAATTAAAAATAAAAACAAGATGTCTTAATAATATCAGAAATTTTCTGTTTTTGTTTTTTTTTAACTAAATTTTAGCAAATGTTGACATACTTTTCAAAAGTTTGATTGTGACAAAAACATTGTTGTTTTGTTTTTTTAAAATAAAAATCCTGATGATTCCTGACAGTTTAAATTCAGCCCATCTCTGGCTAACATAGGTTGAAATAGTCACCACTACCTATGTGACTCCTTTTGGGAAAGGAAGGAGCGGAACACTAGATCCACATAGCAAATTGAACATAGATCACCAGTAGCTTGCAAACCAAATTAGAATGCAATGTTTTGCACTGCTGACTAAACACAGGATGTCACAACATGAATTTGACTAATTCACTTTAGGGGAAACGTGTTTCCTATATGTCACCAGTGGCATAACTAGGATGCAAACCCTGCTGGAGAGTGCAGGGATGGGAGAGGGACAATTATTTGAAACTCCCTCCCAGGGTACAGAAGGGTCATTCCCCCATTCTAGATCATAGAAGTGACTTTGAACTTGAGAACATCGGAAATCTGTGCAGAAAGTGGTGCAGGTATCACTAGAGAAGCAACAGTATGAATGAGTTCATTTCTCTTGAATTTTAATCACACGGTTTTCTCACTACAAAATTATTCTGCCAGAAGTTCTCTGTGTTGCTGGGGTTTGTTCATTAGATGACAATTACAATGATGTTAAAATCAGAGGAAACATCATGTGAATTGTTAGATGAATAATTAGGAAGCAGATGAATAAAAAGTTCAGCTTTCCATACCACTTCACCAATACAAATCCAAATGAAAAGATTTAACATCAGTAAAGTTAAATCAGGTTTATACCACAGCAATGCTGAAATAACTTGGTCCTGAGTTTCCTTTCTTTCTATTGCCAAATATCTTAGTTTAAAATTACTTTGACATGGGAATAGATTTCACTCACTCTCTCAAACGCTGCTTAAATTACAGTAGATGCTTTTGACATTATAAATAGAAAATAATAATAAAAGCAGTTTGTACCCCTAAAGACAAAATGATTGTGTCCGCATCATAAAATGGTATTTTACATCAGTCTGGGGATATTTTGATTGCCTTAGGCTCTTAAGGATTCATTGTGATTTTGTTTTTGGCAATAAATATTAATTAGTGCTATTTTTCATATCCTAGAATGAGTGATATGATTCATCATAGACAAAAGGCTCCTTGGCTTTGGCCTGACCTTACATACCTTCTCTTTCAAGAAGGAAGGGAACATAATAGAAGTCTCAAAATCCTCCACAGTTTTACTGACAAGGTAATCTGTTATTCTTCTTTTCATTGTGTTCCAGTTAATGGAAAGAAGTAGATCAATGGAAGAGAGATCAAAATGTGATTACAGTGGCCTGCAGTTTAGTCTTTGAGAAGATCACCTTATCTGAGAGAGGTACAAGATAAATGAACCTGTGGGTTTAAGAAGGTAGGACTAGCCAATTCCCAGTTATAAAACCCAGCTGGAAGTTACTTGGTCTAAGAATGCAAAAGGAGAGAGCCACAGGAGAGAGGCAGTCTTTGAAGCAGTGGGACTGTTAGGAAAGAGTCTCTGGGAATGGTATCCTAGCTTGGATGGAGGAACTATACTGTTTGTCTAACTAGGAACAGATGTAACATTTGAAACCTTTCAAATGGCTTTGAAAAACTTCTGACATTTTTATAAGGCTACTGTACAGGTGTGTAAGTGGGGTAAAACATTCCAAAGAGTGACAAACATACACCTGTAGGGAACAGATACTGTTTTGTACCATTTTGTTCCACCTTGCATCTGTATGAATCAAACGGTCTTCCAACATCCCAAATGCAACACACTCTCCTTGACTGTCTCCTAGGATCTCAGAATGTCAGGAGCAGTGGTGCTGGCAGTGCCTAGTGTGCCAGGGCCCCCAGTACTCTGCTCAGAGACTCCTAGCACTCAGGGCACCAGGGGGACTCCCAGCACCCTGGCTGTATAGGTCACTCCGAGCACTTCTGGAGCTGGAATCCCCCCACAACCTTCCTCACTCTTTGGCATTGAGTCCCCTCCACTCCCCTGCCTGGGGTGGTGGAGAATAAAGCCTCAGTTCCCCAAACTCCTCTCTTGCCGGGGGATATACCACTGCATGCAGCTGCGGAAACTTCGATGTGCTCCAGCCAGGGGTCAGAACTAGGGTTGCCATCATAAAGGACATTCCAGTTTTCTGCTGCTCTGTCCTCTATTGATACGAAACCCAATGCCTTTTGCCCTCTATTTTTCTCTTCAAGAGAAAAACAGAGGACATAAAGGCATCTGGCTTTGTATCAATAGAAGAGGACAACTGGACTGTCCTCTATGATGGCCACCCTAGTCAAAACAGGGGCTGTATGTCTGTCTGGAGGCTGAAACACTACCTTTTTGAAACAATTCCTAGCCTTGTGAATCTCAAGCAAGGTGCTGCAGCACTCTGGGGTGCCTTGAGGACCTTTCAGGGGTGGTGAGGGGTGCCACACAATGTTAGTACTGTTATGTGTACAAACATGGTTCACAAGATAAATGCAGAGGTTGCCTATACACACGCTTTGGGGGGGGTGGGGAGGCATTTTAATTAGAGGGTTCCCGTATAGCTGCTCTTATTAAAATGGCTCACTGTCATGTGTATTAAGCCCTTGCACATTTCAAAAGCGCCATGCAATGCTTTATCTAAAACTCATTTGATGAGTTTTAGATAAAGTGCCCCTGCGGCCATTTTGACATGCCCATGGCCTTAATACATGTGATGCTGGAGCATTTTAATTAGATGCAGGAATGTTCTAATTAGAGCATGAGCAGACTCAGTGAATTGAGTCTGTTTCGATGGGTTCTAATCTATAGGCACTCAAAGAGGAATCCATAGTTCCTGATCTGTTGTGGTCTTTCTGAATTCTTTGTAACAGAAACAATGGTTTATTTCTTTTTGTAGTAAAAAAAAGTGTAAAAACTAAGAGCTGGCATTTTCTGAGGGGTGCCTTGAGTGTATCAAGGGTTCTTTGAGTCTAAAGAGGTTGATAACCACGGTCTTAGCCTGTTATGCTTGAAAATGTTTCAAATGTGACATCTGCATGCACCTGAAATGTTATGTTAGAAAACCAAAGAACCCTGAAAGAGATACGGGCATGGCAGTGAGTCCTCTTGTGTTGGTAAGCTAGCTACTTTATACAATTTTTAGTTTCTAAAGGAACTCCCTGATGAAAAAGGTGTAGCTCCATATGGGTAAATAGATTTAAATAAAGCTGTGAAAATCAAAGGAGACTCAGTCAAAACATACTACAAGATGCGATTATTTATCTTGTTGGTGTTGATTTATATTCTGTGACATGCAATAACATTTTGCAACACCATCTGATTGGTGCTAAAAGCTCGGAAACGAAGGACAGTCAAAATGAGGAGTCAAAACTATGTTTCTGTTAACGGTGCTTTGTGAAAAAGTAGGACTTAAATACTCAAATTCCATATGATTCACAACAATGCTGCATTCAAACAGTGCACAGTATGGGGAGCCAAATATTAAGGGATGGATATATTTGTCCCTGTCTGCCACCGAGTTGTGCAGAATATGGCGTCGGGGATGGAATCAGTTTTTAAGTATGTGGGGTAGAGATTAGTTTCTACACATATTGGTAGATTGGAGAACATAAGCACTGAATCATATATATTTCTTACCTAAAGGTTATTACAGAAAAAGCTAGTGAAAAAAAAAAACCACAATGAAAGAAAGTGTGACTTTGACAGCACCTGTGAATCAAGTGAGTCAAAAAAGAGAAGAGCTTTCCTTGACATGCTTCTCAATGCAATGGATAATGAAGGGAACAAACTGAGCTACTTGGATATTCGAGAGGAAGTGGACACTTTCATGTTTGAGGTATGCTGATGACCTGGGGACTTTCAGACCTTGAGATATTCTATTTACAAAATGTAGCTTTCCTTGTAGAAGAGAAGCTTTGCTTTTTCTTTTAAATCACTATAGCTATAAAAAACTAGGAGAAAATGAAGTTGGTGTTGATGACACAATATAACACAGAATCTCTTTCTTCGAAAACAGGCTGGTCTTAGTCACATAAAGTACTGACAGTGGTCTGTTGGACCTGATCCAAAGCCCATTCAAGTCTTCATGTTGACTTAATGGATATTGGATCACTCTCCTAATGATATAAATGACATAGGAATACATGGAAATGTAGCAACTGCTGTACCAGATCATTGGTCTATGAGCACTAATGTCTAAGGCACAGATGTCAAAGATACATCTCCTGGGACAAGACTTGGCCCACAGAACACTATCATCTGCCCACCCCCCCAGGTGCTGCCTTATGGTCTTGAATTGACCTACATGGTGTGCATCAGATCAGGCCTGTGCACAGGGCCTGGGATGCAAGGTGCATACAATGCCCACCCTGGTTGGTCCAGGACACACTGCTGGCTTCAGTCAGTCTGGGATCTGTGCTGCATGTGGAGCTTGTTCTGGCTGGTCCAGGGTGGGTACTGTGTATGGCATAGTCCCAGAGTAGGTGCCATGGGTGCTGGATCTAGCATGCAGGAAGGGACGTCGAATCCAGTCTGCAAAGGCTGCAGGATACCATTTATCCAGGTTGTGGACCAGTTCTGAGCCACTCATTTGACCCATGAGGCCAGATGAGTTTGACACCCCTGGTCCAGGGCAATGTCTATACTGTCTCTCTTCTAAATCAAGAACCCACACTGAGAAACAAGTTCTGTTCCAACCCTTTCACTCCACATGCAGCCAAGCTTAACAGTTAGGCAGAGTAGACAACTCAGAGGGGACCTGAGCACACAAAGTGGTAAGAGACAGAGTACAGACATGGTCTACCAATGGTCAGTACCACATGCATACCACACTGGAAGCTGTGAGAAACCAGGAGACAGATTATTCTGTCAGAAATTAGCTGTGCAGGAAGGAAAAATGTGTTCCTCATCTTCGCAGTTAGTGATTGCCTTGTCTCTGGGTTGTAACCTTTAATTGTTTAGTTACCTACCTGTTGATGTGCCAATTACTGACACAAAGACCTAATCCTCTTTTAAAATATTAATTGGCCTTAGCACTCCTGACATCTTGGGCTGTAAGTTCCACAGGGTAGTTGTGTACTATGTCAAAGACTGTTACCTTTTAACAGTTTAAATGTTATGGTAATCAAATTTTATCGAAACTCTTCCTTTTCTTTTATTATGAAAAGGGGTTGGTAGGCTAGAAGCAGTCATTCCCCCTCATTGTTCATTAATCGATCAAATCTCTTCTCATCAATGTCCTGTCTAAAGTTAGCAAGACTTAAATTTTCCTTGTATTAAAATGTACTTATGCCTCTAAGACATACAAAAAACTAGAACTCTTGGTTTCAAAATGATACCTTTTATTAGACCAACTGGGAAATTGCAAGGAGATTGATCCCAAAAGCTTGTAGAAAAGGACAAAGTCCCTTCATCAGGCTCTGGGAAAAGTGTAGATGGTAAAAAGTCCTTATAGATAGGAAACTTCATTTTTGCACAGAGGGAGCTGAAAATGAAAGGCTGTCTCTCTGGGTCCATGAGAGGTGTCTTTGTGAGCTGCGCTGAGCAGCTCTTTGATGTGTAGATCAGGTAGAATTCCTTCCCTGGAGGTGTCAGATGGCAGGCAAGGAGGTAAAAAATCTTGTTGTTCTGCAATGAAGTTTAAAATCCAAAATCAGCTACAATTTGGCATCTTCCATGTTTCAGGGATGTACTTGGTAGCCATGTTGGTCTGAGACAAGAAAACATACAAAAAAACTAGAACTCTTGGTTCCAAAATGAAACCTTTTATTAGACCAACTGAGAAATCCCAGGAAAATCAGCAGAAAAAGACAATTTTCTTGGGATTTCCCAGTTGGTTTAATAAAAGGTTTCACTTTGGAACCAAGAGTTCTAGTTTTTTGTATGTCTTCTTGTCCCAGACCAACACGGCTACCAAGTACACCCCTTAGGCTTCTAATCACTTTCAGTTGCCCATAAAGCATTCCTATTACTGTTATGCCGTTTGTGACAGAGTGGTCAGAGTGGGCCTGATTTGCCACAGCCGTCCAGCTTGAAAGTGATCTAACATCCACCCTGAAGCTATAATCTGTTGCAGTACATTTTTTATTAACATTACTTTTATTAAATTATCTAAAATCTTTTAATATCAAAACCTTTTGTTGGACATTCCCTTCCATCCTTTACATATACTTAGTTTCATTTTTAAATGTTTCATAGTTTCATTTTTAAATGTACAAGCTTAACAAAATTATATACTTCTGCTGTTTTGTGATAATTGATGATAAAGTGTTTTATATTTTCCAAGAGAGGGTAGAGAATGCTACTAACTAAAACTCAGGAACCCTTAAACTATAAATAAATGCCCTTCCCACACTGTCTTATGGCACAAATTAACATCTTTAATTTTATGAGAAACAAGTATTGTTGTTGGTAATATCTTTTATTGGACCACCTATGTGGTTGAGAGACTTAAACACACTTTCAAAGTATTGCATTCTTCATCGGGTCTGAGGGATGATTAAAAAAACATTGAAGGCTGTGAAACTGGAGGAGAAATCCCCAGAGGTAGCAGACAAACAATTAACAGAAGAAAAGATGGCTTGATTAGTGGGAGACTAAGACCTTTCAAAAGGGAAGAGGGTCACTATTGCCTATAGTATGAAGAAAGAATTTCAGAAAACAGGTAGATTATAGTATATCACAAATTCAATACGAGTGTTCAATCCTTGGTTCTTAGTATCCAACAGACTTAAGAATTTTCATACCCAGGCTTGCCTTTTGAAGCTTTTTTGTAAACTTTCTTTGAGCATGAGGATAATGAGAACAGAAACGACAGTTGTTTTGTGAGAAATGTGCTCCTACTAGTGTTTGCATTTCTCTCTTTTTTTCTGTGAGAATTTATTCAGGTGAGTAGTTTGTCTAGTTTTATCACATAGTTGCCATGATGGTATTCAATGCATTGAATTGGAGCTATCACATTTTGGGAAAGATGTATAGGATCAGTGGATTCTGATAGGTTCATTGTGGAAGCTAGTTGATAGTTATAGCAATGGAGATGTGTTGACAGCTTTTGCATTTATTGTTAAGGCAAGCCTGTGTCCTATTTGATATCTCTTAAACAATGGGGAGTTTGCTTCTGATGATGAGTTAGGCAAGGTTAGGAGACTGTTTGAAAGCCAGGAGCAGCAGGGCTTAGAGTATTTCTCTCCAGGTCTGATCTTTTTTGAGCATAGGCTATAATTGCTAGGTGATTCTTCTAATTGGTTTCAGTGTGGGGTGGTAGCTGGGGTGTGAAGTCACAATAGGATTTCTTTATGTATTGGAGCAGGTTACCATGGGTTATCTGAGTGACTCTTTCAAAGATATGTTTTATTCTCTAAGTGTCTTTGTTGTATAAAGGCAAATTTTGGGTTGGCAAGGTGGGTATCACTAGTAATCTCCTTAGAGCAGATGTGGTGGTATCTGAGTACCTGACTGTAGAATACAGTTTGTTTGGTGTGTTTGGAATGATTGCTTGTTTTGTGGCCATAAGTATGATGGTCCATGGGCTATTTGTCTTGGGTAGTCTGTAGGGTGCCATCCCACATGTGGATTCTTGTATCTAGAAAGCTGATGTTAGTGTAGAAATAACACTAAGAATGTTTGATCAAGGGATAATGGTAGATTAAACTTGTGGTAGAAATCAGTGAGTGAGTTCAGATGTTCAGTTCAAATGATGAAAATATCATTGATGTAACCCAGATAGAGTTCAGGTTTAGTGCAAACTTCAAGATTGGTATGTAGGTCTTCTCTGTAGAATTAACCACAACAGATAGAAAGAGAGGCAAGAACAAGATTCTTAGAATCATAGAAAATGAAGGTTGGAAGGGACCTCAGGAGGTCATGTAGTCCAACCCCCTGTACAAGGCAGGACCACCCCCAACTAGATCATCCCAGCCAAAGATTTGTTTAGCTGGGTCTTAAGAACCTCCAAGCATGGAGATTCCACCACCTCTCTGGGTAACCTGTTCCATTGTTTTACTACCCTCCTAATAAGAAAATTCTTCCTAATATCTAACCTAAACTTCCCTTGTTGTAAATTGAGACTGTTGCTCCTTTTTCTGTCATCTGCCATCACTGAGAACGGTCTAGCTCCATCCCCTTTTGAACCCCCCTTCAGGTAGTTGAAGGCTGCTATTAAATCCCCTTAGTCTGCTGTTCTCTAGACTAAATAAGCTCAGTTCCCTCAGTCTTTCCTTATAAGTAATGTCCCTCAACCCCCCCAACATTTTTGTTGCCTTCTGCTGGACCCTTTCCAATTCATCCACAATTTCTTCCTCAGAGATTGACTGTAGAGGAACACATTTAAATCAGTTAATTAAATAACTGAAGATGGATGAAGAAAGGATTTTTACTAGCTTAATGTTCTGATCTGTTTTACTTTCAAAAATCTTAGTTAGCCTCTAGCCATCTTATTGTGTAATTGGCTATTTTCTCTTGTTAGTTTTGGGTACCAAATTGCTAGGTGGATTAATATATTGCTAGCTTTTCTTCTTTGCTTTTGTAGTTAGTTTATGTCTCTCGTCTCAGAGCTGTAAGTATAGATACTTGTTTATGTATACATAATGATAATACAGAATATCAACATAACTCTGCCTGTAGGGGCATGATACAACAGCTGCTGCTATGAACTGGGCCATCTATTTACTTGGATGTCATCCTGAGGCCCAGAAGAAAGTTCACCAAGAATTGGATGAAGTGTTTGGTACGTTTTAGCCCTCCCTGAGACGTGGGTATAAGCACGCACGGTTCAGTGTATTGTACACCTATTCCTTTCTGAGTACATATTCATTATAAACACCTCTCCAGGGATTGCCACCTTATAGTGGTGGAGAGGCTTGCATGTTCCAGTGATTCTGAGAGCAAGGCCATCAGGAGCTTCATGTTCCTGGTAGGGTCACCCATGGTGGCAAGGTCGAGGGGGAGGTTCCTGACTAAGAGTGATCCAAGAAGACCTCAACAGCGTATCAGACAGAAGACAAGTGTTAACCCCCTTTTCAGTGACTGTGAAGGTGGATGAAGGCTGCAGCAGACCAAGGGTCTCTAATCATCTTGGATTCCATGCCATTGGACTTAGAACCCTATCTGTCAAGGACTGTGCGTTTTGTTGGCATGCGACATCCTGACGCTAAAAGAAGTCACGCACAGGCGTCTTCCTTATAAGAATCATACATTATAAAGGAAAAAACACTTTATTTGATTATTTATTTATTAGAGTTGTATGCTGCCTTTCAAAAATGGCTCATGGAAGCTTACATTAAAAAAACAGATACATTATATAAACAGATAAAAATATTAAAATGAAATGGAAAAGATCCCCAGACACTGTCCTAAAACTCAACCCCAACAACTGAAGGCCTGCTCAAATTAAAAAGTTTTACAAAACCTCTAGAAGTTGTCCAGACTAGGGCTCTGATGGATCAGAAGGGGCAGGAAGTTCCAGAACTGAGGAGATACTACCAAGAATGACCTCCCACATTTTATTCTCTAAATGAACTTGGTACGCAGATGCTACTTGCAGGAGGTTGTTCTTGGCGACTTTAGGGACTGTGATGGAACATAAAAGAGGAGGAGATCCCTTAGGTATGTATGGTTCAGGCCATTTAGGGCCTTACAGGTCAAAACCAGCACCTTGAATGGTGCCTGGAAAACTGTTCAAAGTCCATGCAAATTCTGGAGTACTGGAATAACATGCTTCTGGTGACCCATCCCTGTCAAGGCAGGGCACCACAGTCTGCAACAGTTGCAACTTATGGACATTCCTCAAGGGCAGCCCCCATGTAGGGTGCATTGCAATAGTCTAGTCTTGAGGTTACAAAAACACGGATGATGGTGACCAGATCCAAACCTGAAAGAAAAGGTTACAGCCTTCTCACCAGATAGAGTTGGTGAAAGATGGCAACAGCTAAGATGGAGTCCTAGCCATTGCTGCAACTTGCAAATCTAAATGCTGCAAAGAATCTGGGAGCACATCAAGGAGTGTAAGTGACAAGGGGAGGCTGAACCCCACTGATGATAGGTGATTCTTTTCCCACCAAGTCCTGAGATCTGCCAACAACAGTCTCCTTTGTCTTGTTTGGATTTAGCTTCAACTGCATCCCATTTGCATTCCATCTCCAACTGAAGGAAAGCACTGGTTAAGGACCAAGACAACAGAACCTGAATCAGATGAGAAAAAGAGAGAGAGCTGGGTGTCCTCCTCATACTAAGGGCATCACTCCAAATCTCAGGAGAGACAGCCATATGGAATCCTGGAGGACACCACAGGAAAGGTAGTGAGGGTAGAATGAACATTTGCCCATCGTGGACTAGAAATGAAATACAAATTAGATGAAAGTACTGTAAGTTGGATAGGCTCGATCATCCTACTCTATGAGTAGTCATCTTTGGCTCAATGTTTATTTGGGAGGAGGTATTCAATGGGGTTCCCCAAGGGTCTGTTTTGAATCTGATATTTTATAATATCTTCATTAAAGATTTGGATGATAGGATTGAGTGCATGCTTAGCAAATTTACAGACAACATTGATTTGGGTGGAGCTACAGATACTCCAGAGAGTGGACCAAGGATCCAGAATGACCTAGATAGACTGGAGAAATGGTCCATAGTCAATTATATGAGTTCAACAAGGAGTAGTACAGAGTCCTCCACTTGGGCAGAATAATTATGTGCGCAAATACAGATGGGGAAATGGGCTAAGCTGTAGTACCATGGAGAGGGCCCTGGAGATTACAGTGGACCATACAATGAACATGAGCCAACAGTTTACTCTTGTTACAAAAAAGCCAAGAGCATAATGGATTGTATGAACTGGAAAGTCACTTGCATATCAAGGGAAGTGATCTTTCCATTCCATTTAGCACTGGTGAGTCCTAACATGGAGAACTGTGTCCAGTTCTGGGCCCCACATTTCAAGAAGGATGTGGACAGTTTGGAAACAGTTCAGAGCAGAGTAATAAAAAATGATTGGGGGCCTGGGAGACTAGATTAATGAGGAAAACCTGAAAGAGCTAGGGTTATTTAATCTAAAGAAGAGAAGTCTGAGTGCATATTTGATAACAGTTTTCAAATACATGAAGGGTGATTACAGAGAGGAACAAGATGGGCTTTTTTTCTGTAGGGGAAAAGACTAGGAGCAATGGCTTTAAATTTTAGCAGGGAAAGTGTAGGATGGAGATTAGGCAGAACTTTCTGACTATGAAGGTGGTTAAGCACTAAAACAGGCCACTTAGAGAAACTGGAATCTTTATCCTTGGCTGTTTTCAAGAGCAGGTTAGACAGAGATCTGGCTGCAGTGGTTTAGTTGGGGATGATCCTTTCCTGAGCAGTAAGCTGGACTACATGATCTTGTGAGTTCCCTTCCAGCCCTACTTTCCTATGATCATCACCCCGGTATCTCCAATAAGATCAACAAGGTACAGTTTCTCTTGTTAATCACCAGACAAATTGTCAACTAAGGCCACAAGTGCAGTCTCAGTGCTATACCTAGGACAAAATCTTGACTGGCAGAGGTCCAGGAAACTGATAGTATCCAGATAGACCTGGAGATGGTGGAAACCCACTTGTTCAATTACCTACTCCAGAGAATGGGCCGTTTGGGAACGAGTGATAGCTAGCTAGCAAGTCAGCATCAGGTGATGGTTTGAACTTGTGTTTACACTGCATATACTCTCACTGTTTTGTGGAGACAAAGACTTCAGAACCAGTTGGAAAGGGTACTAAGGAACTCATGAGCAGGGATCTGGGTTTTCAGCTTGCTGTGGGAAAAAATGTGGATTTTCTCCCTTAGTGGAGAAAAAGTCATACTTTCTCTTTTTAAGGTGAAAACCACAGATTTTCTCCTTTTAAAGGAGAAGGATGTAGGAAATGGTGGGTTCCCCTCTGCTGAGTTCCAGGCTGCAAGGGGCTGTTTGGGGTTGCAGGGAGTGGGAGGAGGGCAGTCAAGGCAAGAGGTGCTACATGCATATGGCAGCAAGGCAGAAGTGGAGAGCAGCTCCTACATCTCCCTCCAGGTACATCTGTGTGGAGCAGGAAGGGGCACAGGCCACGTATTGGGCAGAGGGGAGAAGGGGCACAGGCCATATCGGGAGCGGGAGCACAGGCCATGCAGGGAGCTGGGGTGGGGGGCAGTGGGTCATCA